GGATAGGCTGGCGTTAGCATGGGATAGGCTGGTTTCAGCGTGGGATAGGCTGGCGTTAGCATGGGATAGGCTGGCGTTAGCATGGGATAGGCTGGTTTCAGCGTGGGATAGGCTGGCGTTAGCATGGGATAGACTAACGTTACCATGGGATAGGCTGGTTTCAGCGTGGGATAGGCTGGCGTTAGCATGGGATAGACTAACGTTACCATGGGATAGGCTGGTTTCAGCGTGGGATAGGCTGGCGTTAGCATGGGATAGACTAACGTTACCATGGGATAGGCTGGTTTCAGCGTGGGATAGGCTGGCGTTAGCATGGGATAGACTAACGTTACCATGGGATAGGCTGGTTTCAGCGTGGGATAGGCTGGCGTTAGCATGGGATAGACTAACGTTACCATGGGATATGCTGGTTTTAGTATGGGATAGGCTGACGTTAGCATGGGATGGGCTGGTTTCAGCGTGGGATAGGCTGGCGTTAGCATGGGATAGACTAACGTTACCATGGGATATGCTGGTTTTAGCATGGGATAGGCTGGCGTTAGCATGGGATAGGCTGGTTTCAGCGTGGATAGGCTGGCGTTAGCATGGGATAGACTAATGTTACCATGGGATATGCTGGTTTTAGCATGGGATAGGCTGGCGTTAGCATGGGATAGGCTGCTTTTAGCATGGGATAGGCTGCTTTTAGCATGGGATAGGCTGCTTTTAGTAAGGGATAGGCTGACATAACCATGGGATAGGCTGGCTTTAGTATGGGATAGGCTGGCGTTACCGTGGGATAGGCTGGTTTAAGCATGGGATAGGCTGGTTTTAGTATGGGACAGGCTGACAAAACCATGGGATAGGCTGGTTTTAGCATGGAATAGGCTGGTTTCAGCGTGGGATAGGCTTGTTTCAGCGTGGGATAGACTAACGTTACCATGGGATAAGCTGGTTTTAGCATGGGATAGGCTGGCGTTAGCATGGGATAGGCTACTTTTAGCATGGGATAGGCTGCTTTTAGTAAGGGATAGGCTGACATAACCATGGGATAGGCTGGTTTTAGTATGGGATAGGCTGGCGTTACCATGGGATACGCTGGTTTTAGCATGGGATAGGCTGGTTTTAGTATGGGACAGGCTGACAAAACCATGGGATAGGCTGGTTTTAGCATAGGATAGGCTGGTTTTAGTATGGGACAGGCTGACATAACCATGGAATAGGCTGGTTTTAGTATGGGACAGGCTGGTTTTAGCATGGGACAGGCTGACAAAACCATGGGATAGTCTGGTTTTAGCATGGGATAGGCTGGTTTTAGTATGGGATAGGCTGGTTTTAGCATGGGATAGTCTGGTTTTAGCATGGGATAGTCTGGTTTTAGCATGGGATAGTCTGGTTTTAGCATGGGATAGT